GGGGTGGGGTGTATTTTCATTTCCTTGTTGACTACACCAAGCTTACTCGACCCTCATAGATGAAATTAATAGTGGTTGCAGTAGTAAAAGAAGGAATAAGTGAGGTTTTGAGTGGTTCTGCTGCTCTTCAAATATGGCATTATTAGCCTTTACATAGATGCGTACACTACACTGATGATCAATGTAATGTAGATAGGCATATATATGTGTATGAATCATGAACCTCGATCATTTGCCCAAAGAAAGTAGTTGCTACTTGAGCCTGCCTTTGTACTACAACTTCTTCTCTTGCGGCTTCTCATCGATCCAGTTCTATTTATTAATAAGATCAAGGCTAGTAAAAGTTTTGTTGATGCACATTATATGAATTGAAACGAAACCTTTCTTTCTTTGCACCTTTGGGTTCTCAAATTCACTATTTACTAATTAGACATGAATTAATTCAGACACTAGTTACGGAGGATCATGTTGTGAAGCTAATTCAGGAAAGAGACTCCATCAGATATTATAGAACAAGTATGTTAAAATCCTTTTCTTTTTTTTTTTAAAAGGGTATTTGTTATATACTATATGTTAGCTCGAAGGTTAATATATATCATTAGTTTAACACGACAAAGTTGTACAATTTTGATGTCGCCTGCAGCAACAGCATCCTTTTGTTGTCAACTAGCCGGCCAAAACTCCTATCCAGAGAACTATCAGTACACTATCAGTAAGCAATTATAGTGTGTCAAGTGGCCGGTTGTAAGCTGCAACGAACGAAGTGCGATCAATTAAAGGAGTTGTGGAATTCACATGACTAGAATTTTCTTTACAAGTGTATTCCTTCTGGTAATAATGAGTCTATGCAACTACATCAATTTTTTTTTTTTTTGGCAGTGGTTTTGTAATCTAGTGCACTCATGCATGCTTTGGTGATCATAACCGGGCCATCAAGCACAAAATAGACCGGTACTAGAGAAGGGATATATGCTATAGGCCCTCAACACAGATTTTGACTCTTTGATATTTGTGTTCAAACAAAATATAATGAGGATGGTTAGAAAGTCGGAGAGTGCTATGGAAAAGGAATTAGGGTGGAATATGAAGGCCGGCCACCTTCGCATTCTAATGGTCCATACGAAGTCTCAAAGCCAGCAAATTGAGCGATTCAATGGTCCACAAAAACACCTAAAAGGGCTCAGAGAAGAAAGGCGCCTCCTCTCGCATTAAAAATTTGACGTTTTCAAGGCTCGCTCGGTTAATGATAATGGGATAGCAAATGTGTGTAGCATCAAACTCCTCCCTCAATGCCCATGTAACACCAGCTGAGAATAGTGCCATGCAAGATATGCTAATTTAAATTTGGTAGTGGTTTACATGTACATCTTGTAACCACTCGCACCAGAACGGTAGTGGCAAGCACCTGCTCTAAATTCTCATGATCACATCAGGAATTCTTCTCTTTCTGGTGGAAGGCATTTACAGAAGTTTTGTGATTGATTAAGTATGTGTCGGTTCATTTCACTCCAAAAACACACACGACGCCGTGTCTGCAAAAGATTCAGTTTCACATGGTGCTGCCATCTTCTTTAAGTTCTTAAACTAGCTACAAGACTTAAAAACACACAATCTATTAAAGAATTGAAGCGCTAGATGTTTAGAACTTTAGTTGTGCTTGTTTGAATTTGTTAAAAATCTTTAGGGACATTTTCTGCATTTTTGTTTGATTTACTATTATTTCCGCAATCAATTTTCCTTTTTTTTCGTTTCGTGCAAATATTCTCATCTAGTACACAGACAAACCGTTGCCTACTTAAACCTTTCTTCTAATTCGGGAGGGAGTTGGGTTGTGCAAATATTCTCATCCTAGTACAAAACAAACGGTTGGTTACTTAATTAAACCTTTCTAATTCAGGAGGGAGTTAGTCGAATGATAAGATAGAAGAGTTATAAGTAGAACATTTTGGTTTAAACTCCCACTTACCTCACACAAAAAAAAAAAAAAAACTTTTGAGTTCAAGATGAATATTTTATTTACACGTCAGTTCACTCGTTGGTTCATATTTTCAAAATATTCGTTAAAGAACACATTCATTTCCATACATTTATCTTTCTTTAAAGTTGTCAACTTTATCTCGTTGTTCTTGGTATCCCTCGTTTCCCAGGATCACAAGAAAAGAGGGAAAAAAAAAAGACAAAATAAAAAGGTGTGCTAGACAAATTAAAGTGACCAATGCAACACTTGGCTGTTCGAGGAGGACTTGGTACTGAGGGAGAATCCGAAGACTCCACAATTATAATTTTCAATTTTGGTTCAATGAAAACAAACAAATGTGATTTTCGCTTTCAACTGCTACTATGGTAGTATAACTTATTGAATTCGGGTCTTCTCCATGCAAAACGGATATGATTTATCATTCATCTTTGAAACTGAAAGCTAGACACTTGTTCTGCACTGAAGAAAGTCCGCAATTTTCAGCTTCCTTTGTTCTATTCCTCTGAAGTCAAAAAGGGGAATGATAATATGATGGAAAATATATGCATCCTTTAGAAGTTAGCTTCAGAGTCCTCCTGGACATGGCAAGATGTTATGTATGTGTACACATGCACGCAATTGAACTTTTTTAACGAATCTTGAAAAGAAAAAGGCATACGAGATAGTAAAAAAAAAAAATTCAGAGATCAAGTGGTTAAAATTTATCAGAATTATTGTGCAACAAATTAATGTTCTAATTAAGAGCCAAACCATCTCGAAAGTTTTTCAAAAAGTACCCTCCAGCTGAGATAATATTACTATTCAAATCCCTTGAATAGGGATTCAAACCGGTGCATATTGGTATTGCTTTCTTTCTTGGTTTTGACCATATACTGAGTCCACAAGAATTGCTTTTGTCGTGTGACAAGAAGCTTTTCTTGCATCAATGCGAATTACTACTGTAATAATTTCAGATTTCTTCACCTTGACAAAGTGGTGCAATTGAATACACCCTACATTCCCACTCACAATTTCACATCCCATTAGGCTACAATCAATAACATTCTCTTTTGATTTTGAGCTAGTATTTAAATCCCTATAATAGTTAAAAAGTTTCACCTGCTGGTGAACCTGAGCTAAAAAACCGCCCAAGTTATGGAACAACTACTGAAATCAACACAGTACTGGAATCATTTAATGCAGTGAAAGCAAAAGGGCAGTACTTGCATGTTCCATATGGCTAAAAGAATCCATGCAGTTCATCAACCATAGATCCAGGAGAGTAAGTTATAGTAGCAGGGAACACTACAATTGTACAATTTACAACTACTAGAATGATTTCAAGAATACATCCAAAATACAAGTACTCGATTGCATCAAGAGAAGAGAGCAGAGATGGGAGTGTCAAGGATACAACAAATCACAAGTGCATAGATCAAATTAACCAATACGCCTACCATTCTTCCACACCCCCCCCCCCGCCGTGCCAGAAGTTGACAAAGCCAACACCATCACTCTGATATATCTAATTATGATATCTCTAGCTAGTCACAAATCAATATATCTCATGAACTGAGAAATAACTGAAACTACTGAAGGAGGTTAACTGCATTTACTTCACTTCTAATAACATTAGACTCTCTGACGCCATTTTCTTTATTCATTTTGTCTTGTAAGGGGTAGGGTTGGGAAAAACGAAGGTTGGTTACGATAGTGCCTTATTCCTACACTGCATTTCCCATTTATCATGAAATTTCAGTGAGCAATTACAGTTTGTAGAGTAAAAACTAGAAACCATGGTTGCAGTACATCTTTCCAAGTACAGACACGCATGCAACGGACTGTCAAATCATTACAGTTAAGTCCCGTAGGTAAAATGTTACTACTATTTTCTATTGGGTCATAATTTTTTTCTTTACGACAGTAAGTAGTATTTGGAGTGTAAACGATGCTGTTAGTTGTGGGTGTACATGGTATATTATTTTCTACTTACTACAGCCCAATAGCATCTGGCATAGTACTTGGATGAACTTGAAAAACATTGCACAATTATTAAATTTCATAGATTGCACCCCAAGATTGAGAGTTGATAATCACATTTCACAATATTAAACTCTTATGCTCTCATTTCAGAAAGATACTTTTAGAGTTGAGAATATTAAACTCTTGAGGGTTAATTTGCTAGTTTTCCATCTTACGTGCACGGTTCTTGGAAGTATAGGGCTTTGTGTTTTTTTTTGGCCTTACACCTAGGGACTTTACTATTTGTTCTAAAATCATTTTGAATATGTGGCTTAGGTCTACATTTTTTGGGTGAGAAAATGATCAACTGTTAATTCATTTCATTTCAAACCAAATTAATTACTTTTGTCTGTCCTCATATATTAGTACATTAACTGCTCAACTTTCCCTAAAGGTTGACACTTTCCCTGGTGCATTTACATGGGGATATTAAAAATAATAAAAAAAAAAAACAGTTTCTTCTTTGTGGTGTCGGTCTTTGCAAATTTATGAAATCATCATCAGCTGAACAGTCGCATTTACACCCATGACAGTTGACAAATACTCTAGGAGGAGTATAGTGCATGTCAACACTGATCAGTATTTTTAGGTAAAACTCTGTCACGCGCTGAAAGGAGTTTGAGTAGGATTTGATAATCCGATGCTTACAAAAGTTTCCCATGATCATTAGCTTCCAAATCTGCCAAACAAATGTAGTCTTAAGCAGAGAAAATTGCAGAATACAGAGACCTTTCCTTCTTCTTAGGCTTTTTCTTCATGGATATAGATGGGGTTGCTGCTCTTTGCAATCATGAGTCCTCTTGTCATCATTACCCTACTTGAAACTAATCCACCCCCTCCTCCCCTTTCCCTCTCTGTTTCTCTCAAGTCTCGCTACATCCAACTATCAAGGCAGGGAACCACATGGGCACATACAACACATTGAAAATAACAATTCCACCTATGACCTGTATATAAAGACTTGATCTCTAAACATCTCTCTCCAAGTTTCCACTGCTCAATTCCATTTCAAAGCACCCCTTCTTCTTTTCATCCTCTCTAAAATTTTCTTTGTAAAACCAACAAAAAGACCATATAATACTAACATGTGTATATCATCTCATAACATCTACACTTTTATGCATAACAAGCAATCAAGGCGATGTAAGATTCAACTTCCCAGGCTCACAAGGTACTCCACCTTCTATCTGAATAACTTGTACAAGCAAGAAAAGTGATATGCATATGCCGACATTTTATTTTTGATGTTTATATTTCATATAGGAGGAGGATCAGATGTCAAGAAGAAGTTGGAAAAGACATGGTACTGAAGAATTTGAAGCTGTATATTGAGAACATCACCATCTTGGAGGAGAATGAGAAATTAAGAAAGAAGGCCAGTCTTCTTCATCAAGAAAATCTTGAGTTGATGTCTGAAATTCAGAAGAAGTTCGCTCCTTCTGATCGTGTCTCGACAACCCTTGATCTGTTGCTTCACAACAAAGAAAACCAGTGAAAATTGACTGCTCCTTTCTTCTTTGCTGTAATATTTCTTCTACTCGTATCAGCTTTTTGGAACTCTACTAAACTAGAATAAGGTAGGCAAGAGCATGTTGACTGAGGAACGGGAATGGGAATCCGAGTGGAATATTGTAAGTTGTTAGCAAGTCAGTTAAATTGATATTGTCCAGACTACATCCTTATTTTATCCTACTGTTGCATTTCTTCTTTGATACCTCAAGAACATCAATAATGTTTAGCATTTTCATAGGAACAAAAATTATGCCACCTGTTATGATAAATGAACGATATGTTACTTGATGGAGAGACCAGACATTACATAACAATAAAAAAAAAAAAATAATGGAACTCCTGTCCATAAGTGATAAATTTATTTGGCAAGAAAAACCTGTTACGGATGGAACTAAGACTTGTCAACGTTGCAGTGAAGTTCATTTCACTGTGCCTGGTCATTGCATGGCTAATTGGATACTGCATAGGGCTCCCAAAAAAGTGTTCAAATGCAATAAACTTTGGCCTTGCATAGAAGTGAGGGATTGGCATTGGCTTGGAAAAGAATTCAAGTTAAAAGGACTGGTAAAATTTTTTCTGTCTTATTGATCCGTAGTACTTCAGCTATTTTGTGCGATAGATAGGAAAAGAAAGAATCTACAAAGATTTTTCTCCACGACTAAGTACAATCATGAACAAAAGTTCAAAAAAGGCTGCCAATGAACTGAAGACCATCAAAATCTAACTCCTGATCAGTATATCCGAAGTTCATCCTCACAGCTGTCATAAACCAGGTAGCCATTAATTGGTAAGACTAATTTAGCCCCTTTACGCCCAAAACTGAAGCATAGAAAGAGAGAACAAAATTTAAGAAGGTTAGGACCTATGTCTGCAAACTGACTTCAGTCCTTCTCTCTCTTAAAAATTTGGGTCATAAAGTCAATTCTGACCCAGGTAATTTTGCCTATAAGATAAGATCAAGAAAAATGAATTACAACACAGAACGATTTTGCGCGTAACAAAATTTTAGCTATTCAAACATCTGTGAAAATGTGACAACATTTCTATTCGATCCCTACGGTCAGATGGTTATAGTAACTGTACAAGGGGAGCAAAAATTTCCATCAAGAAAGGGGAAGAAAAAGAAAAAAAAAAAAGCCCAGAAGAACCAGTTGTAATTTCTTGCAGGGCATGGTGGTTTTAGTGTATTGGACCCCAGAAATTAATCAAGACTTATCATTACTTATTTACTTTTCCTTTCCCGAGCCACACGTGCTTAGGGTTATTTGAAGGTTCCTCACACGTGGGGCATGCAGCAAAACCCATAAAAAGGACTTTGTTGAAAATCCGGCTGAAGCTGTTGGCTCGAGGGTACTCTTTTCTTTCACTGTGCAGTTAAATTCCACATAATTACCTTCCAGAAATTCCACACAATTATGTTTAATTATTTCAAGTTGTGTATACATAAAGTAAATGTGCTTATTTAATATAGTGAAATCATTTCCCGACAATCTCTCAACTAGAATAAGAAACCTGCAGAATCCCAATTTTCTTACCAATACAGCAAAGCAGAATCATTCAATCATATACATTCTACCGTGAGATGATGCTCAAGGAAAATAAATATCAATTAATGACCAATTATGAGTCCTAAATAAAATCCCAAAACAACAACTTGGATCACGATGAATATTCCCAACTTTCTTTCGTCAGCTTGAAATTTTTAAAATGGAAAAGCTTTGATGTCAAACTAAAAAATTTTTATCTACTAAAATCCGTGAAAGATTTAAAATTCTCTAGTCTTCTACGAAATTTTTTTTTGCATTTTCCGTGAGCATATTTTTCAATCACCTTTTTACCTCACATCTATCAAATCGTTACAGTACATTTTTGTACAAAAACTCCAGAAAGTAGCAATCCAAACCGGACCTAATTTTTCGTGATTCTCACATTATGTATCACCTTGAGCTATATTGGGGAGTTTGGGGGTTTTTTTTTTTTTGATGTATTTCTGGAAAGTCTTACTGTACACTTGTATTTGAAATACTACACACAAATTTCCCATATAATTTGCACTCCACCATTAATCATGATACGTCAAATTAATTACTACAGTCTAAGAGTTATCACACACTATATATATAGTACTACTAGTATATTTTACTCTTACCCCAGCGAAGCAAGCATCAACATCGACATGAACACAAAAGTCAACTATGAAAGCCTGAGTGTTCACTTAACAATGTTCAAAAAGTCAAATTAGCATTCCTAGTTAATGTGTATTTCGAGAACTACGTAATTAGGCTGGCCTCTTAAAGGTATGCAGAAGGTCAATAGCATGGCCTCTGGATCATTATACCATTTGAATTCACTCAATTGTCTTGGGCCTAAAAGGGGTTGTAGCATCCCAATGCTTTGACCTACAGTTTCCCAATGACTTCAATGGTGGAAAGGTAAAGAAAGGAAAGGGAAAGAAAGGGAAGGAAGCTCATCAGTCATTACAACGAGTAAAGAATTACGGTGAAGAAAAAAGTACAAAAAAACCCCTTCGATCCTCGTTTCCATTCACATTAGCAACATTTGACTAAATTCGGATGAACTAGCATCAAAACATTAGCACCAGAAATGTCTAAATATGCAGCTCTAGGCTCCAAAAAAAAAACGAGTAGCTTGAGCTCCACTCTGCTCAATCAATAGGCTTATAAAGTTCGTGAGCGTATGAATTTATGGTTTTCTGAATGCGATAGTCTGATGTTGGTTGGAGACCTCATTTACATGGAAGTGGAACGGAATGTTTCTTCCTACTGCTAGATGCTTGAACACATTCAACTTTGGCTTCAACCAGAAAGTTTCTTTGGGTAAGGGTCAAGCTTGAGCCCAGAGGCAGGCGTTCATACATTAGCAAAACTAAGCAGAAAGTATGACAAATATTCCTTACTGTGAATTTTTTTTTTTTTTTAAAAAAAAAACCAACATACCTTGTTTGTTTTTTTTCATTTCCACAAGTATTAAGAACCAATCTCGTACTATATAATACACATGTTCAGTTTGATACCATAAATTCATGACGCTCTTGATATTCCATCTTCATAAATCACAGTTCTAGAGGGTTACTGAATTTGGATTAGTTAATCGGAAAAGAAAAAGAAGAAGTATAATTTGGTTTAGTTGCATCTATCTTCTTTTTTTTTTTTCCCAACGATAACTGTTTGTATAACTATTCTAGCCTAATTTATTCTCGTCTAATCTATTCTAGTCTAATCTAAAAGGAAAAGAGAGTGAAAAACCACAAATAGTATCTGACGCGCGCTGTTACATGAAGCTGCTACTGTTGCTTTGGCACAGGGATACTTTTTCTCGTATATTGCAGCGCATATTGGAGGAAAGGCATCAGTGTAGTTGGAGCACAGCCTAACCAACAAGTAATAGTGTGTCTTATCTAAACACGACTAACGAATTCCAGGTTCATCTACTTCAATCATACATGTCAGGAACATTTGTCAGGATAGTCATCATAGTTCGCAAACTTTTGGTGCTAAGCACAATAGACCCAGTTGAAACACGAAACTGTAAAGACGGATTAAAAGGCATAATACCAAATAAAAAGGCTTTTCAGCAATAAAGAAGCTAAAGCATGACAAGAACTGGATACAAAGTCAATAAACGTTGTTATGCCATATGATGTTTGGCCGAGTTGAGCAAAGTGTACGATATTGCAGCAGAGAGCCCAAGTCAAATAACTCGATTGACAAACTCATATATGGCGGCAAATACTTTCCAGCCATCTGGCTAGTGGCAGCAAGTGAAGGCAAACTTCCACGAACTCCTTCCACGAGGGCAAGGAGATAACGTAATTCATAAAATTGATGAGCTTCCACAATTTCGTTTTTGGAAAAAAATTTCCACTTTTCATTTATATCCCTGCATAAAACGGAGAGGCACCATTTGCTAGTTGCATGCAATGGAACCTCAGCTGAAATTTACGCGAGAAAGAAGGATGCACTTACCGACAGCAGACTCTGGTCAAAGAAAGGGAAATTAGATTCCTTATCGCTTGCCACATATGTAGAGTTCATAGATTCTTTGAGCTTTCCTCTGAAGACTTGAATATTCGGAATGCAGCAATGAAGATTGTCACATTACCGATCACAGTTAATGCTGCTTGTATAGCCACTAATACCTGACAATCCGCAAATAAGAATTGCACATTTCGCATCAGATCCTAAATTACTCCATGCAGCGTGTACCAAAACTGAAAGACCCATACGGTAAATTATGCTACTCCGGCAGAAAAGTTAGAATATAGGAGCATATTAGGATGTAAACAATACATAAATTTCTGTTGATAAACAAGTTTACTGAACTCGTCACTCTGGTCGTTAAAATGTTATTATGTTGATTTATACAGTCTCAATGGTTAAACAACAAACACTGTTGAGTCATTAGGGTTTTCTAAAGCAATGGTTCAATATGATACAGATTTGTTTAAGAATTTCACAAGGTAATCTTATTTTAAAAAATAGAACCAATGGAACAACTAAGCGGAGGAAGAGAAGCACAGGAAAATTCCATTGAAGTAGCACATAATGCTCAAGTATCATGATGAATGTCAATCACTATCATGGGAATGTGAATCTTGATAGCAAGATTAAAGTAAATCTCTGAAAGAAAAACCATTATCAATTTACCTCTAAAGATTCTGCATTATAAAAGAAGTGCCATGTGCATGCACAAAACGCTCCACCTAGTAAGGGCACCTATAAAAGGTTGCATGTCAAATTTCATTATAAGGAAAACAAACTTCAAAGTTTTCAATTATCTATTACAATATCAGAAAAGTAATTACTGTTCTTTTGGAAGGCTAAACCCACTTGACCTATATAAGCATGTACTATGGACATCTATGAACAAGTATCAAGACCTGATCTGGGCAAAATAAGACTTGAAAGTGTCCATTCTGACAATGCCATTCAAATTATAAACTCAAGGGCCAGCAGAGGAATCTAAAAGCAAATAGAATCTGCACAGTATCATCATTTCACTTTCAAACAAAGTGATAGTAAGTAACAGAGAAAATTGAGTTGACAGTTTCACAGTTGCAGAACAAAATTCTAGGATGCATCACTTGGCATTATGTAACTCATCAAACCCTAATGGCACTAGAGATTCAAATCCATTATCTTTTCATGTATGCTAAAAAAGCTCACTAGCTAATATTCCATTTATCGTTATGCAATACAGAGATTCAGACAGTTCTATGCTTTTCACCACTTCCCATTGTTGGCAACAGCACATTCCTTCAGCGCCATCAACACACTACACAAAGGACGAAATGGCATAACTTTATGTCAAAATAGAAATCCTGTTACCAATTCCAAGCAGCAATAGCCTTCTCCATCTCTCTGAAGATCACTCTCTAGAGTTGCAGGAGTTGCAAAAACTAGCCCTAATTTCTGGATCTACTCCAAATAGAGAATAGTTCACTAACTAGCCTTATTGTGGATGACTTTTTTATTTTTGTTTTATGAGAAAAATAACATATTTATCAGAGTATTTCCCATTTATACAAAAGGTACAACGAAAAATTGAAGTAGGAGAACTTATCTGCCTACTCCAACATACCAGTGTGCTTCACAATCGATGATGATGTTTGTAACTTACCTGACATGGTGGAGCACAATCCTGATATAAGCCATAAGTCATTGTGGCCTGGTAGTAGGGAAGCAAATGCTCTTCATTGTGTTCATTTTCATATCCTTTTCAACTGTGACTATTGGTTTTTGTACTATTCCCACGTATGTTGATTCTGATGACTTGATGGCTGACACTATTCAATAAAAGCCAACATGTGCCAAATTGAATATCTTCAGCTATGGCCAGAACTGTTATTCTCACCTATAAAAAAACAAGCACTTCTTGTCCTTTGATTACTTATCTGTTTTTCTCTCTTAATATTTTGCATTGTCTGCTAGAATGATTTCTCATAATATAAGTAGTAGAGCTGACGATCTCCTGTCACTCTAATGATTCCCAACTAAATTAACCTAATGCCTTCTGCAGAAAACTTACATGCACACGCTCACCCTCTCCTTTTACAATAGATTGTCAAGAGATTGAGGAAAAGTATAGTAATACAGAAAACATTTTCATTGCAGGCCGAAGATGAAACTCAAGCTCGCTTTCTAAAGTTACTGATCTCTAGTATAGAGTAACAATTTCCAAAGGAAGATCATTAGGACATGACAGGCCAGCATGCAGAGGAGGCATCAATTAACTCGATTCCCAATTCAGTGTTGGCTGCTTCTGTTACGAAGGCATATTAATGTCAGAGAACCCTGGACCCTTCTCAAAATGGTCAGGCTTGTAACATCATTCAGACTTGGTTTTAAATTTATTGGAAAGAATGTTCCCATTATTGGGAAGATTTACACAAAACCACAATAAGCACCACATACATTTTTTCTCTAATCAATCCCCAAAAAAAGATTTCTTCCGGAAGCAAATCATTATGCTCGCTTTTGTGCCTGCTGGTATCCTTATTTTCTTTTCTTTCATCCTGTAATTTTCATCCTGCTACTTCTAATCATCCCCAGCCTTTCTTCTTCAATGAAGAAGCAGAAATCAGAATAAAGTTCCATGATCCTATTTCTTTTGATTCTAAACAAAACTTAATTTAGTGCATTAGACTAATCCACTTCAGGATATTAGTTACTTATCCAGAAAGCTTATGTAACAGAACTTAACCATGGGGACAACTACACTCCTGAAAGCGTACAAGTAACAAAATTTAGGCAGACATAACAGAAAGCAGTATGGCATCAGAACAATAAACACAACATAAGCAAAAAGCACATAAACTAGATTTTTTTTTCCAGCTAAAAAGAAAATGTTACTTAGCAACCAACTCCAATCCGCTAAAGAAAAACAAATAATGAAAGGTCCTTAGTTTCATTTTGTCGTTTGTGTTGGAAAATTGGTGTCAATAATTACTCATTTACTAGGATCGGTTTGGTGGATATTTGGTGTAACCGCGGATGCCGTCAATATTAGGCCTCATATCTGTGTTTGGTTGTGACTGTGAGAGTGTTGAGTGAAGTGCAAAAGAAAAGAGGATTCTAAGTAAGCAGGGATGGAGATACAATAGCAAAATTGGTGTAACAGCACAAAAATTTCTCACCATGCCCAAGAAAGCCCCTTCCAAGATTCATTCCCAGATTTTTCCCCATATTGCCAAACCAAAGCCATAGCAGTGATCCTTCAACACAAAAATATACATAAAACACATCAGAATTGCCACACAGGAGCACGCACACTCCCTGAATGAGAGATAAATTGCAATTAATGGTACCATTCAACCACGCTGGAGACGTGAACAGCCAGGTAGGCAAGGAGAGAGCATTTGAAGGTTCAGCGAGCGGCAAAGAAAAGCCCACTAAAGATGGTGCCTCAGCTGCAAATGCAATGGATGATCCCACTCCCACAAGGGTGGTTAAACTTAAGGCCAATCCAGCACTTCTCACAAGAGTGGCTCTGCATTTCTTGCTCGGAGTGATGTTGTTATTGAAGGGCCTCGAAATTTTGGTAGTTTCTCTAGCAAAAAGGTCGGATTTTGCAGATGTTTGATTTGGTTTATATAAGGACAGTTTTAAAGGAGAGAGCGAAGTAATAGTTGCCATTGGTGTGGCCTGTGGATAGCCAGGGAGCTGCATCTGATGATTCTGAATTTGCTACAAAATGTAATAAGAAGCCAAGCAAATCCAATCTGCCTTCTGGGGTTCATCACTTACCTGGGATAACTGACATGCTTGATTTGGACTTTCCATATTTTCATTTTCTTTCTTCAAGCGAAATAATAGCACTAATAGACAAAAGAATTTAACTTGCTTTTTCGCAATTGATCCTACTCCAGTGTTCCGTGATTTTAAGCAAGTATCCAATAATTGGAATGCCCAAATTATAACTCTTTCAAGGAGTTCCTTTTTTCTTCTTCTTCTTTTTTAAATATATACTCGTTGTTTCATTGCTCGATTGCTCATTTTATACGTAGAAATGTTTACGCTTTGCCTCCTCCATGGATAATGATAGATGAATGAATGCATAAAGGGGCATAATAATAGTGTATGAGAAATAGAAGATAATGCGCCCATAAAATGTCACCAGTGGCTTTTGGTAAAAAATATGTACTGACAAATTTTCTCTCGTCAGACTTCTATATGAAATCTGTACCATTTTGTAACTTCAAGAATCAGCAGCTTAGAGGATAAGGACGGTGCTCGAATATGATGCAATGTGAAAATGAACTTTTAAGCAGACCTTATCCTCGACTAATAGCAGGAACTGTAACAAACAATAAATCGTTCGAGGCAGATGACATTCCAGGGTACAGTAGAAAAGGAACTGATTCAAGAACTTAAAAAGGCTGCCACAAGCACAAGTTGTTAAAAATATTCCTCGTGCTTGTCATTTCATTCAGCAACAGTTCAAATCAATTGGTTAATACATGTACTCTGCTCTTTTACAAGCCAATATGTCACCAAGAACCGAACTTGGAGATGGAGCATGACAAAACACTCGATTAAGAAATCCTTCTGCTAGAAGTCACGTTTTACGTGGTATTTTCTAGAGGTGGCGCCAAGATTTCCAATTCTTCTGCACTTGAAGAGGACAAAGAGCATGCAATCAGCCATGCATTCAAGATCCTTTAGCGTTGTCAACCTGGCAGAATACTTTGACAACCAAAGGCAGGGAATGATAGGAAAATCACATTCCGCATCAGTGACCCCTGCATTCTCCTTTTCTTTTGCACCAAAGGACAGCGGATGGGCAGAAGCCAAGGATGTGTTATTACATAAGAAGAAATCAAGTAGTAATATTTATCAGGCAATAGCTTCGCTCTTCTTAGACCAGAGCATTACAAGTGAGAAACCCATTAAAGACATTATTACGACCTGCATATACAGATAAGATGCTCATGTTAAGTAATCCGATACATAGAAAAGTAAAAAAGAAGTCCATCAAGCAAAAGAAATAGTATCATTATCTAACTCATTGTATCTTACACCATACATTGACCGTATAATCTTTTTTTTTTTTTCTTTCCTGTTGCAGAATTGGTCGTATTCACACTATCAAGTGAACACAAAGTAATTGACTCATGAAAGATGCACAGAGCTAAAAAGACAAATCAAAATAACATAGAGTTAAAAAGACATCATGCACAGCAGTGAAATGTCAATTTTATCCAAATTCATGGTTGCAATTAAGATTTGTCCAACTCAACAACATTAATAGGCAAGATAGTGAAACTTGACAACCAACCAGAGCTAAATGATAATGCTAGGAATATCATTATCCATGTAAAGAGCTCAAATTCTCCAGATTAGAAAATAACGATCTCTAATTGCTCAAGAATAAGTTTGTGTAATCCAAATGACTTACAGATATAGCTGGAGGAACACCAACAAGAGGGTCTTGAAAGAACCTATTTGCAAGTGCAAGAGCAGAAGACTACTTTGCATGCCTACAAAAGAGGATAAGGAGTAACTCAACATGGACAACAAAATTTTAAAAATGCAAAAGTGCACAAGATTAAACAATCCAAAACCTGTTTCATAGGATAGGGTTCTTTGCAAAGCTTTTACATCAGGTGTGTTGTGGAATAAAAGGCCAGTGAGGGTATAACCAGAAACAAATGCCGCCAAATGGAATGCAATCACAAGAAAAAGCACTGACAATCCTGATGGCGACAAAACAGAACTTATGTTGATCGCCAATGGAGCTCCAACACAGAGGGCAGTCACGAATACTGATAGAGGCGGCAAAAATGGACGAATAGCATTTGAAATCCGGGAAAGATTCTGCACATGCAAATCAATTCAGGTAATAAAAGAACTGGCATCCTTAGTGAGAAAAGGTAAAGTATCTTGACTTGTCTCACTACCTATTCAGAAGCAATCCAGCAGCAATGGGAGTAACTACAATCTGCAGAATGTTGGAAACCATTCCTTTTACATCAACTGGCAACCTTTTTCCAATGAGTAACAATGACAACAATGGGGTGACAAAGACTGCAGTAGCAGTAGATAATGATGTCATCACAATGCTTAGAGGAGCCATTGCTGGATCTGTCAGGAAAGTTGCATAATTCGAAAGCTGTGCCCCACTAACGCAAGAAGTCAGCATAATCCCCGCAGCTGACAGATACATACTTTAGTTAGTTTGTCAAACCAACTTTCTAGGAATGAAGAATAGAAACTTACCTAAAGGAGTAGGAAGACCAAATATAGTCATAGAAATTGTGCCAAAGAGATACCCCAAAAGGGGCTTTACAACAAATTGGCCGACGTACCCAGCAAAAATGGCTGCTGGTCTGTTGAATGCTTCGATAAAATCTTTTTCACTAGAATTTAGACCAACTGCAAACATCAGAAAACCTAGTGCTGGGGCATAGTACCTAAATCATCAAGAAACAGATATTAGGTATACGATAGATACTATGTATGTCTCTTTTCTCTTCAGCAGAAATGAAAACACTGATGACCATTATTTCATTCTTCAAGAACAGCATCACATTACATTCCTGACGCAGAAACTTTTGTAATAGCTAGTTGCCAAAGCAATCAACATGAAACAGGTCAGGTTTTCCTTTTAGATAGGAATGACAAAAAGTAAAATATCATCAATTTTGTTGGAGGAACAACCAATACTATTTGGTCAATCAGAGATGCACTGGGGGAAGGCAGATGCCAAATTTCTTAGATAACTCGCTGTATGGTGGACATTCAATATGCTCAAACAAAGCGTAAGGCTACTCAGTTAAGACAACATCCAGAGTTCTTAAGTTAGCATATTTTGCACTTGGATGCAATGGATTTAGAAATGACATACATACTTTTATAAGATTATGGTCTTCATTTTGCAGGAGATCTTGAACTTGAATTTATGGAAAGTTTAAACTTCCTTGGAATTTTCTTTGTTTTTAATTAACTTGCTTGGAAATTTATTGGGAAGATCCAAATCTTCCCCTAGTAAAAGATTCATTTCCCGACTTCAAAATACAGCTATAATCAACAAGCATTCTTGTGAGGAAACAGAGCTACAATGCATCAGATGGCCAACTAAATCATATGAAGAATAGTACACCAACCTGTTTGTGAACCATGTAAAAGAAGGTGGATAAACAAGAGCCAGAACAGTACTAGCAATGACCACATGAGGCAGAACGGAGTTGGCCCCCTGTAATATTGTCAAGAAGGACGCCTTCTTTGGCTTAAGAATCTGAAATTCAAACAGGAAATTTAATGCTACTTGTATGCCTGGACTAATTAATATTCTGAAAGGGCGAGATTTCATTATTGAGCAAAAATACATTCAGTCCCAATCATAGTACAATTCATGCATTTGTAACTTCAAACAAGAGCAAAAGTAATGCCATATTCCTTCAACTTTAACTAAAAAATATAAAGAAAGGAGAAAGAACACTTCAAAAGTACCTCAGCCGCTTCTTTTGAGTAATTAGAAGATTCATCAGGCTCCAGTGAACCCGATAACTTCTCACCAGCACTTCTGAGCGGCGCAAACCATCTCGAATTCCCACCTATTATTGCCGACCTTAAAATCATAAATATTGTACACAGAAAACTCAAAAAGCATAGTAAAAAAGAGGTCTTTAGCACAAAACTCACATGCTGAGACGGGATGAAAATTAAGTGAAAACCCCCGAAGTCTCCCTCCTGAAAACGAGTATACAAATGATTCCACTTTTCAACATGCGAAAAGATGAGATTTTGACATATCTCTACCCAATCTTATTACTACATATTTAGCAAAAGAAACAAGAAACAGAGGCAGACCTGACAAATGGTGGGGAAATTTGTGAGTTTCTGGAAAAATACGTAGTGGGATTTTGTGTTTTCCGATGAAAGACGGGGAAGGGGATGATTGAAGGAGGATCTGAGACTGCTGGAAGTGCTGATGCTGCTGAGGAAGGAGTTGACCACTTGAACTCATCTTTTTCCCACTACAATGTTCCTCCTATGTTTCTGGAGCTCCCTCTCCAGTCTCCAGCACAGCAGTACAGTATTTTGAGCTTGGAAATGCCAAATGGAATCGAATGAATTGGCAAGGAATGGATCGAATTTCGCAGGGATTAAGGAGACATGGGGAAGGTTCGTCAATCTGCAGTCCTACTGGAGAGTGCACAGAGACTCTCCCCTGCGCAGATTGACGCATTCTGGCGAGGCCCAATCTCTTTCAGAACCAGCCCGAACAGTGACCCGTTGAGGTTCAGTTGATGGTGCCCAATCTTTTTCAGAACTAGCCCGCGAGCGACCCATTTAGGTGTCGACACCCGGGTCAATTGTCCTTCTTCTCCATTTTTTCTTGTTTTGGTTAATGAATGTAAAATAGTGTATTGTCATGCATTTGTGAATTTTGTATTTATGATATGATACATTTGTATGAATGAGAAAAGAGTGCCACAAACATTAGTGTCACCTCACATGAAAGTACAATGCCATCTTTCTAAGTTTGATTATCCAAATCTTTTTTTTTCAAAGGACCTTTCCAAAAAAAAAAAAAAGAGAAAAAAAAAGTTACAAATTTTTGTAAGTCACACGAAAAGAGAGAATTATTATAAAGAAAATTGGTAAAACAAGTTCAATTCTCCACCTAGTCTGATTGAGTTTTGAAACAAACCTAACAAATAATTGCTACTTCATAAACCGAGTGAAACTTGAAAAAAATATAAAAATAAAAAAAAGGACAAGGGTTGAATACTAATTAATTTAAATGTTATGACAATAATATTACACTTTCGCCACAGTTATTGTGAATGAATATGTGCTTAATCTCTATTTGAAAATATATGTGTACTAATTAATTATATTTGAAAAATAGATCTCTCCATTTTTGTCAGAATCAAAATTTTAATGCTATAGCAATAAAATGACTCCTCTACTCAATCTTTCAAGCCTTGGACTAAAAATTGTCTGTGAATGGAAATGGCCAACCAACAAAATCGGTTTTAACGAAGGAAATTGGGCTGTGTAACACTGGTTGCTCGAACTCAGGAGTGGTGAAAAGAACTTCGCGTCAACAAATGATTAATGCATTTCAGCAGCAAAGTCAGTTAGGCAAATGGTGTGGATGTCTCAACAAGTCCACAAAACCAAGCACAAGAAGTCCCCATTCACAAGTAGTTTCTCAAACTCGAATTGATGGAGTGGAAAAGGCATTTGCATGAATGAAATCTCAACAAAATAAAGAAATTGAAAGACCACATTTTAGAGATGTTTTTGAAGAGACTAAATGGCAAAGTTAGTTATATCCCACTTTGACAACTGGATGATAATAGTGAAGAAGATGGTGACAGAGATCAAGGCATTATTATTGATGAAAAGCAGTTCATCCCAATCATTGCAAAGAAGACCAAGAAATGAAAGAGTATTAACAAACCATCAAAATAATGCAAAAACGAAATAAGATTTTAAGTAAAAAGGCTCAAACACCTTCACGGTACCCTAAGTGTGGAGCATGTTAATTTCATTTAAAAGTTTGTGAAATTTCCAATTTTGCAGATGATTGATTACACAGTCTAAGAATCTTTTTGAAAGGGAGTAAATACTCTCCATTTAGTCGTTGTTTTCTCTTGAACTTGGGTGTATATTTCGGACAAGGGGCTCTACCGGTTGTGTGCATTTTTTATTATGCGTAATTTTGATTGCACACGATGTAACTTTCTTTACACACGACGTAACTTTAGAACAAATTTTTGTACGTTCCACACACGGCGTGAAAATCGTGTTACAAGATGTGATTTGAGTCGCACAAAATTTTTTAATCAAATCATGGCCGTCAACTGACAACCGTTCCTGCCCCATTGCAGTATATTTCATATGTATTTCTTTTTTTTTGTTGTAATATAATAAGGGGTTGGCGACCCCATCATCTGTTTAGGAGGTTATTTTGCCAAAAAAAAAAAAAAAAAAAAAGATTTCCTGCCCCGATTTCAAACAAATGCAATTTCTATGACCCCGAATTTAAAAGAATGAAAAGTAGTAGAAAGCAAGAAAAAGAAGAAAGACGCACACGTCAAGCCTGACCGGATGCAACAAAAATTAAGGAAATAATGCAAATGAAAATACTGCTGTTACGATAATTTAAAAAGTGAGGATCCTAAAGAAAGAATAGAATCAATGAGAAAGTAACAAAAGAAGGGGGGAAAAAGCAATGAATGAAAAACAAAACATTAAGGTTCTAACTTGTCGTTTGCTCCCTGATCTTTGCGCAATGATTTTGACTTTGTCCGTTGGCACAGGACTATTCCACCTCAGATTATTTGTTCTACCTCGTTGACAGTTTATAAGCAATCATACACCGACTGCATAGCTACTAAAATATTTGTTTTCGTGAATGATTTCAGCACCTTTTTTTTTTTTTTTTTTGGGTGTGCGTGTTAATAGTCAACTACTCCCACTCTGATTTGTAGTGGAGGAGAAATGAACAGGGTCAAAGAGAACTAAAAAGAGCATGGTTAACGCCTCTAAATCAAAGAAATGCACTGCTATGGAAAGGACTCGGCGTGGCTAGAATTCCAAGCGTTTCGGTCCGGTTGTTGTATTTTTTATATTATTTGATGTATCATTGTATTGCATTGTTGTATTTATAGTAAAAGTGATGTATAAAAATCAAATATTTGATATATATTCAGTATAACATTTTCATGTATTTATATGCCAAAAATTTGAACACATAGAACAACCGGACAAAATCGCACAAAACACAACTATATTGAGTTCTTGTCTGATTACTGCACACTCTTCGATTTTTTGGTGTAAGTGTAGAGGTTTGAAATTTGAACTTCTAACTTCTATCTATGCTTGCACCTTATCTTTAATTGGCGTTCAACTTACCTAAGGAGAGTTGAATGATTTCAATGCCAATTGGAAAGCCAAAGTTTTAGGCTCTGTTTGATAATTCAATTCAATATTTAAAATTAATTGATTCAAATATTAACATATTCAAATCGTTTGATAATAAAAAATTGAACATTTGAATTAATTGAGTGGCACTGAATTTACTAGGCAAAACTCGCTTTCAAAATTAAGTAACTTATCACTAAATATGATATGCACTCAAGTGTATTAGATTTAATATTTAACAATTTAATAATTTAATAGATTCACACTTCAGATTTAAGATTTCAAATTTCAATTTTATCAAATGCACACTTAGGGTTTGTTTGATAACAAAAAAAAGTGCTGAAACTAAACATTTTCAGACATTCAGATGTTTTGAGTGTTTGATAAATGAAAATCCATCTGCTGAACTTGTGTATATTTTTTCGGCACAAGAATCCTAATTGAATGCTTAATTCTGCTAAGAAACAATAAAATTAGTTCAACTACCTTATCTTATCTACCAAATCTATTCTTATTTGTTAATTATATTCAAAATTATTATCTAATTAAATAATCTCATATTTTCTATCTAACGATTTTCTATTTCTCTTTCTCCATTTTTAATAATTTTCACATTCTCCATACTTCTCATATAATATATTTCATCTTTTATATTAATTTGAATTTAAAAATAAATATTGTCATTTTCATACCTAACAATTTTAAGCTAATTAAATCATAGATTCTATTTCTTTTTTTGAATGAAAATATATAAGGGCAAAATTATCAAATTAAACTTATTAATCATTCAGTTATAAATATTTATCAAACAGTATAAATTAGTTCAGCATTAAAATTCAGACATTCATATATTTATTTTCAGTACTTAAAATTCAGCAAATTAATTGTTTCAGTATTCATATTTCAGAATTCAGATCTAATTTTATCAAACGCAACCTTTGTCTAATGATCCTCTGACTTCACTGTCTAATTTTTTACTCGTGTGAGTGATAAACATCACATCCAAATTCGACTGGAAGTTTTATATTTCGTACTGTGCCCTACACGTGTATGGTTTAATCTTGTCTATACATAGTTGGTTGGTTATGTTCATCATGATATGGATTGTAGTATAGCACATTGTTTAGAAATTTGAGGATTGAGAGTGTAAAAATTGAAATGCGTGATAGTATAATTTTAAGCTTTGTCATGGAATTAAACCTCTGCAATAGGGCCGATATTACACCATTAAATGCAATTGAAACGGATTAATCTAGAAAAACTTAGGTCCTACTTGGATTGCTATTTATAGAAATTTTTATAAAAAATTGTATTGTTATAATTTGATGTATGTGAAGTAAAACGATGATTGAGAGATATGTTTACGAAACGTAAATTTTCACAGAAATTTACAATCCAAAACTATTCTCTCACCACATGAGATTTTGAGTGCAATCACCAAAAAATTGAAACGAGTTTGTAGTGCATATGGTTTAGATAACTTTCAAGTAATCTTACGCAATTGATTATGTATGTTTTATTATGGAAATTAAAAGAGTATTATATTTCTATTATAAATTTTTTGAATAAAAATAACAATTTCATTATATGTGCGCTAGAAAATACATCAAGTACATCAATAAATCTATTATAAAGTTGACAATTGTAGTGAATTATAATAACTTTAAACCCTAAGGAGCAATTGAAGTGCTAGTGTAGAGTGATGTTTTGTTTTGTTGGCAAGGCTTCACGTAGACACACACTAACATACACGCACCAACAATAATAATTTCAAGTGTCAAAGCAAAAAAAAACTGTAAATAAATACTTCCACGAAATTCCAAGCGTGGCGGTGAAGTCACGACGGCAATATCTGGGGCCACTCTAGCCTCAGCTTTTCGTTGAAAAATGTCCACCACAATTCCAAGTCCCTCTTTTCCGCCACGTGTTCTCTAAGCTGGCTCCCAGGGTGATGTCACAATCATTCGACGGTGCCGTTTTTTTCATCTTTGATTCTGTAATCTTTCCGTTGAATTTGGAAATTCTTTTCTCTTTCGTGCTGTTGCCACTGAATTAACGGAAAAATGTAGGGATAATTTCAGAAACCTCCCTGGGGTTTCTGACTATTTCACTTAGTTCCCTCAAGGTTTAAATTACACTTACCTCCCTTAATTTGATATTTTGGTTAACAAATTTTAAAATAAGGTCAAAATTTTAATGAATATACTAAAATGCCCTTATCTTATAAAGTTTAATTCATTTTTCTAAACAATTATAAAGTAATTTGACACAATTATTTAAAAAAGAGTCTCCAGTTTTACATGCTAATATTTGTTATTTAATAATCAATTATAACAATAAATCTTTTGCTATGATAGGTTATTTTTGATAGTGTTTTATTGGAAATATAGATTCTTTATAAGGTAGAGTAGAAAGTGTTAGCTTGTGTTTTTTAGGTTTATGGATTATTTTTTTTTAATAAAAGTTGATGGACTAGTTTAGTGATAGAACTACCATAGTTTGTAGTGATTTTGGGTCATTTTTTTTAATTATTATTGATTTATTCTTGATTTTGATACAAAAAAAAAAAAGAGTTACAAAAAAATTGGATGATATTAGAAGTCATAAAAAATTCCTAGTTTAATGTTTGATCTAGATAGATATTAGCGACGGCATTGATAGTTCTTCTATACTTCTAATGAAATATAAGATAAATTAATAAGAAGGAAAAAGAAAAAAATTATAAGATCCATCTTTTATATAAACATGACAACAAGTGAGTTTTATTAAAATATTAAGGTTAGTATTGTCATTTTAAATCAATAAGAGATGTAGGTATAATTTTTCAAATCTTAAAAGAGCCATATGAAATTATTAAAAATTTTAGGGGAGGTTTCTGAAATTATCCCAAAAATATATTAGCTATCGGCCGCTACTCAAAATACAGAAGGCGAAATTTGCATGGCCGATTTGACAAATTTTCCCAATCAACAACGGTGTTCAGATTCAGGCACGGTAGAATAAACTATTCAATCAATCCAACTCAATCTATCTGAGTCACGTAACGAAAACAATTCCATAAAGGGCCTGTCTGACATTGGACATCCGTTAAGATTTACTTCAATTATTAAATTTTTTAAAAGGTATGACTAATTTGGAAGAAAGTATAAATACAGAAGAGAATAATAATTATTAATGTGTATATATCATGAAAGATCGAATAGAATTTAAATGTGTCAATGAGTGTCGTTGGATGCGAATTAAAAAAAACTCTTGAATGAATGAATTAATTTCAAAAGCCAAGTTTTTGTCCTCGAGCACTTTATTTGAACCATTTCCTTCGTAGTAGAAGTTCTATGACTTATTCGAGCATGTTATTCAGATTTTCATTTATTTGAATGTGCAATGAATCAAGTATTATTCAAATTTATTCTTCAACTTATAATTTACCCGTTTTTCAACACTAGTTTTCGTTTGATAATATGCACTGTTTTCAACACTAGTTTGAATATGCATTGAATCAAGTATTACTAAAAATTATTTTTTAACTTATAATTTATGTGTTTTTTAACACTAGTTTTCGTTTGATAATAATAAATTTTTATAAATATGTGTAAGTTTTCTCTTCCTATTCCTATCAACAAAACGTGAAACTTATCAAAAAATCAATTAAAAAATAACAACAACAACTTCTAAGTAATCACAACGTTCTTAAGATTTAAAATTTTTTTTCTAATTGTCACAACCTCGAATCATCCTTTTAAATGTAGAATTCTTTTAGGATAAAATACAGTAAACTCCCTTGTAGTTTTGCTGAAAGACAATTAGACATCTTATGGTTTCAAAATATTCACATAAATTCTTTGTGGTTCAGACCAAAGTGGAATAGTATTTTTGTTGGGATACCTTATTTTTTCAACTAATATTTTGTTTGCATCATATTACGTTTTTCAATCCATCTTTTTATAATGTCAATCATTTTTTTATCTCACATATATTACATTACAAAAAGTGTTACTATTTTTTGACCTATTGTGATATCGATACCCATCGTTTGTTACTTTTTCTTCCTTTTAAAAAAAAAAAAAAATTTTCTGGTCACAGGGAGGAAGGGGAGAGAAGGGGAGGGGAGGAAAAAGGGAAGAGGAGCGAGGGAGAATTTTGGAAAGGGAGGGTGGGAAGGAAAAGGAAGGAGTAGTAACCGATAATAGTGGTAAGTGACGGTGGTGGTGATATGTGAAGAAACAAAGATGGATAATTTAACAAATTTTAAATTGTCTCAAAAGTTCTAAAATTTGCAAAATTTGAGCACAAAAAAAAAGGAAAAATAAAAAATAATAATAATATACATCACTTGCACCTTCCACGTCAGCTTAAAGTACAAGAGAGTTACGTGGACATTTCGAAATGATAAGGTCCCAATTGTCCGGTGGTGAAACACGACAGAGTTTATTGTAATTTTACCCCATATTATTTACTGTATATATCTTTCCGTGGGCTGTATTTTCGTATTCTTGTTGTTCACTCAGCTAATAGGTAGTAGGCGGTTGAGTCCAGGTACAATGGCAACAATGTCCTTGAACAAACTGATTGACCACTATCAAAGCTGAACTTTACTTTCTCCTCTGTCAAACTGATTGCCTCCCTTCATCCGCCAGTCATCTTCTCCAACCGCCATCCCCCAGCCCACAAAAACCCCACTGAAACACACATAACTTGCACACAATTGCATTCTTTCTATAACCCTTCACGCGTTTTAATTTCTCACCCCTCCTCCCCTCTATTAATTATAAACAGTTACAACCATTCAAAAAAAAAAAAGAATTGGTTAAATCTTTGCAAGAATATCCAAAAGAAACTGACTTTCTCTAACAAAATTAAAAACCCAGAAGTAGTTCTGGGTTTTTTTCCTTCAATAATTTGTCGGTTTTAAATTGGGTGTGGTGATGATGCATGGAATGGAGAATGGGGGGCAGGCGGTGGGTTTGTGGTGGTGCCGGTTTTGGGTTGGAGAAAAGCAGGGGAAGAAAAGGAGGAGGACCAAATGGGATTATGTGAAATTGAAAGATGACGATGTGGAGGAAGGTTATGGTAGGGTAGCAGACATCGGAGAAGCGGTGGGGTCTGCATCATCATCATCATCTTCTTCTTCTCCTCTTCTTCTTCTCGTTGCAGCAGATGCTGGTATTCTATTTGGTGGTGGGCTAAATTGATTCTTTTGGTGGGATTTCTATCAGTCTTGGCAGCTGTTTTCTTCAAATGGATTGGACCATTCTTTATGGACAAGGTTAAATAAAATTCCAGCTTGTTTTTTTTTTTTTTTTTAAAATGTTTCTTTGAAGAAGAAAGATTAAAAGCATGCAACTTTATGGTTCGTGCAATTCAATAGATACAAGTGAATGTGTGTTTATGGGTATATATGTTGTCGTTGGTATGTCCTTGCACGCGGGCTTGATGCTGTTGAAGGGTTTTGATAATGACATTTATATTGATGTGCTGGTGTTTGATTGTCATATTTACTGGTTAAGTTCTTCTTTTGTGTTAATTTCTCAAAGTAGCAAGTTGTTAGAATTCAATCCTGATTGTTAAATTGAAACAGTGTTGAAAATTGTCTTCCTAGGCCAATTCCGACGTCTTTCATTGAACGATCTTTATATTAGCAGAGCAACAGCATAACATTGTCTACCCTTTTAGTATACAATTAATAGATTACAGATATATATTTATGATAATCCCCAGATACTAGTAGCATGAATTAGTTGTTTGTAGCTTTATTAACTTGTGGTGAAATTGTGATAGATATAGGTTTACTGGCTTGTAGAGATAAGAACATCAGCCCTTTGACATCTGGTATTTAATTGCTGTTATACTTTTACTGGCTTTTAGATATAAGTACGTCAATCCTTTGACATAGGTATTTATTTGCTCTTAGCACTTGATACATGTCAAATGAAAGTTTAGGAAGATAATTCCTGATAATAACTGGTGGTTTAATATTGAGATTGTGAATGCATACTTGTTATCTTCATCAGATTTGTTAATCTGCATCTTGCTGTTCAAGCAATAATTGATGTTTGTTTATAGCAATGGGCAGTGAGAAAGCTGGATGTTGAATTCCATCGTACACCATTGAGCAATAGTAATTTCTAACTTATAAGTTGCCTTTTCCAGGAGATCATCCCTGCTATAAATTGGGAAACTAAAACATTTAGTAGACCAGTTTTGGCACTTTTGGTTTTTGGTTCTGTGGCGTTATTCCCAACCCTTCTTCTTCCATCTTCACCATCCATGTGGGTGGCAGGGATGACCTTTGGATATGGTTATGGGTTTTTGCTTATCATTGGTGCCGTGATCATTGGTGTTTCACTTCCATATTTCATAGGGTCTCTTTTCCACCATAAAATTCAGGTCTGTATCCTTTTATGAAGTATATTCTCCATTGCTTCGCTCTTCCATCTCTCTTATTTCAATTTTATCCACATTAGTGATTTTATTGCTTTGCTGTGTAATGAAGGGATTGCTGGAACGATATCCTAAAAGAGCTTCATTAATAAGACTAGCTGGTGAAGGGAATTGTTTTAAACAGTTCCGAGCTGTTGCCTTGATCAGGATTTCTCCTTTTCCATACATTATTTATAACTACTGTGCTGTGGCAACTGATGTTAAATATGTCCCTTACCTGTTGGGATCACTTGTTGGCATGGTACCAGAAACATTTCTTACACTTTACACGTAAGAATATTCTTTCTCCCTTTGCTCCTTGTTGTTTTACTGTATAATGTTTATGGCTGGGCCTAGTTTGCTCTTGTAAGTGTGATGCATTTCTTGTCCAACACCAATGTACCCATGTAACTGCTTAGTGTACTTCTGACCTCATTTTACTTCTTTCTATAGTTGGTTAATGCCAATACTTAGATGTGCAACTGTATATGTTTGACCGTATCTACTATCTTTTTGACAAGCTCTGGGGTTGGTTCCTGATGTCTTCCGCTCTAAATGACAATGATTCTGCTAACTATTGGACAATAACATATATTTGGTAGCAGTCAGTAGCATATTTATTCATTACCAAATCATCGGATGACATTGTTGCTAGGGACTTGATGAATCTGTTTATTCTGGGTGGCTTGTTTCATGGTTGGTTCTAGTGTAATTCTCACTGATTTAGCTCATATCTTGATTGTAACAGAGGATAATGTAATTAGATAACTTCTGAAACAAAAAGCTCGTAACTTTGTATTGCCCTTTTTTGGGTCAAGTTTGTCAGAACCAAAACAAGGGCAATTCCCCTTCTCCAACTTGTAGTCACATAAAAGACAAGGTTTGAACTGGATCTAGGGGGCTTGGCAGCTTGGGCAATCAGGTAGAAGTAATATCTTTAAGACTAAGTGATGCTATAGTCCTATAGAACTCTTGAAACTGAGACACCTAAAAAAATTTGAACTGATGCTGGGTTGTTTCTGCTGTGACTGGGCAGGCAGGTAGAAGCAACATCTTTAAGACTAAGTGATGCAATTGCTATAGAAGCCTTGAGACTGAGACCCCTTAAAAAAATTTGAACTTGCTGGGTTGTTTTTACTGTGAACGAAGTGCTTCTTTGATGGTCAATAGGGTGATTATGTCTTCATGTACAATCTATCTAAATCATGGTTTTGGCTACAGCAGCTATGCTCTTCATTGCTTTGGTATTTTAGTTGGATACCTTAACTGAAGAAGTTCATGAATTGATTGGCATCTGCTTTCATGTTATAATTGCTTTCTGTTCCTTCTGTCTCTTTGCTCTGGGCTTTAGCATCTTCTCGTTTGATGATTACTCATTGATCCCTTCCACATTTCTCATCCAGTGTAAAGCTTCAAGTTTTCAATTTTGTTGGCCCATTCCTTTATTCACCACTTCTCGACCTCTCCAGATTTTTTCTGAATGTGTTAGCATATGACAATCCCCCCGGAATCCACAAGTGCAGACATTTGTGCTTTCACATGGAAGAGTTTTGTTTGTACCGGTGCACTGTTCAACAAACCAGCCATCTAAAATTAAACAACACGGTTGGACCAATTTTTATGGTGGCTAGGGTTGGGAAAGTTGATTAAGTTGCAGTTTTCAAAATTAACCAAAATGTTGTATTATGAGGATAAAAGGCATTTAAAGTGATTTGCTTGTATGATGCTGGAAGGAAAGGGTTATTGCAGTTACCAGTCAGTAGATGCTAAGTAATGCTGCTTGTAAAGGTAATGGAAAGTTTTTAAGTCTAAGTGGCAGAAAAAGGTGATTGTGAAAGAAGTAGCAGATAGGTTGCACGAACTTCTTAGAAAGGATAATAAAGTTTCAGTTTGTACAGTGTTCTAAAGTTAACTGTCTATGCAAAAGTAAAATCTCTTGGATGAAATAAAGCAAGCTTGGAGCTTGTGTTCATAAAAAGACTCCAGATTAATTTCAAGTTCTATGAAACTTTTGATTGTGTTTGCTTGGTATGCTGCTTCATCCCTTTACCTAGGTTTTTATTGAGGTAATTTTGTCTGTTATTTTTTTTGTTATATGTTAATTTTGATTTACTTGAGTAATAGTATACTTTTTTGCAGAGGTATTTTGATAAAAACTTTAGCAGATGCTTCACATGATCGCCATGCCTTGTCAGCTCCGCAGATAATTTTGAACCTTGTCGGTTTTTGTGCTACTGTGGCTACTACAGTAGTGGTAACAATCTATGCAAAAAGGAGGCTCAAAGAGTTGCAGAAGGAAGAAGAGCTTTTACTTCAGTAAGCCTGTGTTGTTTTCTTTTGGGACCAAAGAGTGAGATTGATTTGCATCCAGTTCAGGTTTGATTGGCATGTCTAGATGCAAATTGTTGCTGGATGGATTGTTATTGACTGATTACTCCATCCTTAATTTCGTGGTCAACTTTGTGGGGCTGTGTCCTGCATGGATTATTGGTGGATGACGGGGAATTGAGACAACCAGCTAACATGACTGATATTTATACCGAATTGTATAGTTGTCCCAAAATAAGGGAAAATCATAAATGAAGTTGATGTATGTAACATCATTGCCTCCAACCCCCAAATGGAAAAAACTAATCTCCCTCTCCCTCTCACGTTGCAACAGTCACTGTATATAATTAGAATGCCCCTTATGGTTGTAATAGAATTCAGGGTGTTATTTTGTTGGATTTGGAAGATAACAATTTTATTCGATTGTTTAGAGATATTATCAGTTGGACACCCGAGTTGCCTATATAAATTTCGTGAAGAATTTATCGTATCCTGGGGCAATTTAGGTAATCATTGTATTGGGATTGCACTGAGTTTGCAGGTGCCAAGCTGCAAGGGCTGTCCGGAATTGTAATCCATTTCCAACACTATGAATTTAGCTTTCAGCTATATTACTTCTTGATCCTTTTTTTTTTTTTCCTCTCAAGTTAATCTTATGAGTCTCTTTATCTTTTTCAAGATTTCAGCTTGTAGAGGATATGGAAATTGTGAATAACATTACTGCATTAGACTTTTTACTCGCGCTAGGGATCTTTTATGTGCTTAGCGCATGTTGGAAAATCTGGCCTGCACTGGATGCGGAGAAGCATGGGGAAGCTGTTTTGGCAATTGGAAGAACCTTCTACTTGACAAAGAAGGGAGGGGGGAAAGATGCAGGAAGTTTTTCCTTAAATTCTTTCCTATATCTCTTTTGAAAATTGCCTCATGATAGCTTGCCTTATTTATTTGTCTTGGTCAATGTTAATGATGACTTGCTGTCCCTATATGACTTGCTATCCTCTTTTATCGAGAATTAAGAAGGGAAGAAATGTCAAACTAGAGGCTATGTAAAAAACCCTTTTGGCTGGATCATCATGAATTCATTAGAAAGCAAAGAATATGAATGTCAGTCATGCCCTGATGATCTTCTTACCCAGTTTTCTTCCTCGCTTTTTCTTGGAATCCTTTTTGTGGTCCATCCGCTGTCTCAATCATGTTTACTGAGAAGGTGGAAGCTTTGAACCTTTCTTCTAATTGTGTAGTTTCACAGTTGCATTACAGATGGATGCAAGTTAAGTATTGAACATTGATATTAGCAACTAAATGGTATTGGGTTTAAGTCTCCCCCTCTCACTCCCTGCTTGCCAAATTCCACTCCTCCCTGCTAATTTTTTTTTTTAAAAAAAAAAAGAAAAGAAAACAAAAACCTGAATGGGTACTTATTTGGAGCCCTTGATCAGTTAATTCAAAGTTGTAGCATACAGCCAAGACTAGGTGTAGGATGCTGAGGTTTGTTTTGCTGCAAGAAGAGACCGTTTTTTGTAGATCAAAAAGCATTTACATTTCTATGACGTTAATAAAAGCAGTATGGTCTATGAAAGATGGAACCAGGTTTCAACACTGTTTCATCCGATCTTTAAAGTTGATTGTTTATTCCCAGTAAGTCACAGGGATAAATCATAAAGTATAAAGATGACTGGTGGTTCCCATCCCATGCAACCAACGGCAAATTTTTATTTAACCAACCAAAAAAGAGAAGCTTCTGCAGTTGTCACATTCATGTTTTCAATTTCACAGTGAATTAAAGTGAGTAGGAACTGATCTTTTAATTAGCAACATCCATCCATATTGCCTTTACCAAAATTCCCATTATCTGTCTATCGCATTTATCGGTATTGGCATCTGGTGGTTTCTTTCCCGTTCATCATTGGACCAAATGAAAGTTATACATGCTTGTCAGCAGCCAAATCAGATTAATTCCAGAAGGCCCACATGCAGATCTAATCTGTTCTTGGCTTTAGGAATAAATTCTCCAGACAAGTATTTTCATGTTCATAAACCGCTTTAATTAATCTTGGTCTCAGCAAAAGTTTCAAAACTTCTTTTTACATGTGAAAAAAAGGAACTTGAAGAAGCATCTTCACAAGTTGAGGAATGGAGTAGGAGCAACCTTGTCCTCGAGCTGAAGGCGGAATGAAAATGTGCATATGAGACAAAACCCACAAACATAATAATACAAACAAGAACGGGACCTTATTAACTGGCCAGAAACTTTTATGCACAAAGGAGTAATACATGGTCAACAGCATTTTTGTAAATTAATGAGGGAATCCAACTGTACCCTGCAGGTGAATGATTGTTCTTTGATGGTGTAGTACTACTGTTATGCTCGTGCGTTTGTTTGAAGAGGTCCTATTGCAGCACTCGATTGATTCTCTAGCTTCTTTCCGGAGCCACGATACATTTTTACTGCTGTGGTAAAATACATTACGTTATTGTTTTCTCCTGCCAAACTTGAAACCATTTTTATGAAACCAAGCATTCATCTTTGCAAACAATGGAAGAAACGTCACGAATTAAGCACCATAAAAAGAGAGTTGAGGATAATAACCTTATGAATAAGGGATCATATTTGGTTGAAAAATATTTGTTTTGTTAGCTCAGTATACGTTGAAAAAAAGAAGAAGAAGAAGAAGAAGTTGCATTGTTATTTCAATTTTTTTTTTAATCTTTTCAATCATTTTTTTTTTGTTTTCCGTCACAAAAAGTGCTACAATATATTCTAAAAAATTTGTTTAACATAATCCTCTGTCCTAACACAAATTCCACTTGCTCTTCTCCTTGTAAGCTCTAAAGTATATTATAAGGCAAAAAGGAAAGGGAAAAGAGTTAGGACCGCATAAAACATCTTGGCGTGCACTGATCTGTCATCTAACTATGTAAGCAAAAAAAAAAAAACCCCCTTAAAAATGTCAAAGAAAATCATCAGAAAGGAACTTGATAAGGGGAGAATTCCCAAGGCTGCGACAGCCAACGAGTATGCTTCTGTGGTTACCGTCTGGTGGGGTTCATTTCTTACATCAATTGCTATCTACCGTTTGGCTGGTCTCTTAAAAGCTTTTGATTCACTTAGAATATCCCAGGTATATATAAAACCCTATTCATATATCCAGAAGGATCCCCAAAATAAGAAAAAAAAAAGAGACTAATCTGTATGTGATTGTTGCTAATCTATTTTGATCTAAGAAACCCCCACCCACAACAAGGTCCAAGGATTATTTTCCTAGGAAATGTTTACGTACATAGACTCGTGTGGCTGCAAGGAAATCTAGGCAATTATGCTTGCTTAAATTCCATTTTCTGTATACTAAAATCAAGAAACAGGAATAAATGCACATAATTAACACAAAGAAATATCAGATCGTGCATCTACTGCATGGTAAGTTCATACAGAAGACATAAATTGTCAAACCCAGAAAAGCCAAGAAAATCTTTTTGCTACACGTTTTAAATGTTGAAAATTTGAGAGTTGAAAAAAGAGAAAAGTAGAAAAAACAGGCTAGATGTTCCCAAAAGATTTTTAGCTCGCCACCATGATCCAATTGTTTGTGCACAAAAGTCTTCTACCGGATTTAATGCATATGCTATCTATCCATTTCATAAGAATTCTCAAATGTTTGATAAATGGCAGTGCAAGTATTTCATGCTTTGTACTATATGACAAACTAATCTCGACCTACCTTACCTTGCATGAGCCATGAGGAGAGTTGGAACAAAATTCAATTTGGACAGTAGTCAGAAAAATGATGCCTGTGGCATTTTAGGCCTTGTTTGGATTTTTTTTTTTTTTTTACAAAAAATTACGTCATTTTCCATGATCACATTTCTCTATTACCTTTTTCCCTCACATACATCAAATCGTTACAATAATTTTTCCATGAAAAATCATGAAAAATGCAATTCAAACACAACCTTAGTATATCACTCACCTTGACGCTTAACCTTTAGCCGTTGCGAATTAAAATTGCATGGTCTTGATTACTTTTTGATTCTTCTTTGTCCCAAGTAGTCAAACGCGCAAATGAACAAAGGGATTGAAACAGAAAGGACTATAACGGGTTGAAAACAGATTATATTTATGCAATTCGTAGAATCCAGATGGGGTTCAAAGCTTGAATGATAAATAAATAAAAGTACTTAAACATGACAAGGAAATGAGAACTAATCATGGATGTCATCAATATTGGTACTCAGCAGCCAACAAATCACATGCTTAGACTGCATAGCTAGTTTAGTACTAAATCAGCTTTTGTTAGCCTATACTTATCAATGCTGTTTTTGTCTAATGTAGGAAACAAAATTAGGTGGACCCTTTTTGTTTACGTTTATGGAACAAGCAATAATAATAATATTCTAAGCGAAAATGGTGTATGCTTGAATTAGCAAGAAAATGTCAAATTGCTGGATACTTAAATTAGAGTGGCCAAAACCAAAACTTGAAGAAACAAAAATGACCGAGGAAAAATGCTCATTTAAGACTGCAGCCCCTATCAACTTCAAATTTGTGTACACACTATACATTGTAGGACTCAGGCAGGGGCGGTGGCGAAGGACCGATGGTGTTGGTGCCCGGTGGTTGATCAGAATAAATGCTTCTTTGCTGTGTTGAAACAGACCCTACATCAAGCCTGATAGGTCATAGTTATGGTCAATAGCATGAAGACTCGTAATCAGACAGAACGGTTCCTTCTTTTGTTTCTTTACCCCAGCATCCTCATTAGTAATTACTGGTCATAACCACCAACACATCCCACAAGAAGACCATAACTTTCTCTCTGTGTTGTGTGTGAAAGAGAGAGACTCATGGAGAGTGAGGTGTGAGAGTGGAAGAAGAACGGGGCAAAAAGTCCACGTGGTGGCAACTCTTTGATTTATAGTGACCTTTTTTAGTTTTTTCTTGATACAAGATTTGAGCAGTTAATATTAAATTTTGCAAACTGAACTGTACCTGCTCTTTTCTTTCCAGCCAATTTCCATTTCATTGCTGGCGTTTCTCTAGCATGCCATTGCCAGCGAGCCAGCGAGCCAGCCAGCCCAGCAACAAAAACAACTATTTTTCCCCACCTTTATTCTCTGATTCTCTCTGTTTATCCCCAGTTCTTGGACGCCTCAATTTTCTTGAAATTCTAGACAACCATAGAATTTAGGGCTCGCAACTCACAAACTACCCTAACCTCCCACTTCATTGTGAGAGAAGATTCCAAAAAAAAAAAAAAAGAGAAAGAAAGAAAGAAAAGGGTTGGACTGTTTCAGGCCAAAATGTACTTGGGTTCTTGATTTTCTGCTGCAAGGTTAAGCATTAAAAACTAACAAAGATGCTTCTTTTCAGTCAAGATTGTGATCTCGTTCTTTTTCTTATACTTGAGGACCACTTGCATTGATGGGCATCAGTGTGTATGCAGCACAGAAGCAGAGATCAAGCTGTTTTAGAATTGGATCCAGCAATTATAATGCTGGGGTTATGCTGGGAGCATGAAAAGATTAGGTACATGTTTTCATTGCCTTGCTCTTTTTAGCTCCTTATGTTTGCTAGAGCTTGTGACTGTTGCCTCAGTGACTGAAAAAGAAATCTTGCTTGAAT